TGGCTTATCTGTTCACAGCTTTGGAGCGCATTCTTCCTTATCTTGGAGACAAATGGCCTCCACAGAGACTTCTAAACAGCAAAGCCATTTATCTATTTGACATGTGTTTCCCCGTTTGTTTTCTCCAGCCTTGAGACAGCCAGCACCAGCTTTGACAATATTTAGCCGTGTCAACGATGGAGGCCTGCATGCCCACTCACTCCAGGGGTGTGAATCAATTTTGCTGGCACATTTATCATTTACTGTGGTAAATCAAGTCTAATCAATGCTTTCTTCATTTGTGGCAGGATGAAACCTTTATAAACTTTAAAGAAAACAAGCTTGCAGGTGAAAAGAAAATAAGCTGAATTAACAACAAAAATATGAACTGTTCAGTCTTTTATTTTTTTTTTTTTGACAGTGTCAGGGGAAATCCTTCCCCTGCTGAAGTCCAGGAGAGATTTTCCATTGACCTTGATGGAGCTGAGATTTCACTGGCTGCTTTTCACATGGAAGTGCAGTTCTGCTCATAGAAGGGATCCTAGGACAAAGTGCCTTGGGTTTAACACAGCTGGACGCCATGCATTCAGTCACACTGGCTAACTGGTGACGAAACAGATATCTATTACTCCTTTTAGCCCTGCAAAGCCAAGACTCGGTGAGCTGGGTTTTATTCCCTGTAGGCACCATCAGCACCAATTCCCATTCACCAGGTCGCCAAATAACAGTTAGGCAACTTCGCTGAAGGCAGTGGAGCTAGCATATGTTACCCAGGTCATAACTATGCCATACACATTTCCTCTCCTTCCATGGCTGGCAGGACTCCAAGCAGTAGCAAGGAGGGTAGACTTCCCGGGGCCTTGAGCAAGAACGCAGGCTGCTCGTGCTGGTCTACTGCCAGCTGTTGCCGGTAACTGCCTTCTGAAATTACCCAGGCAGCAGTAGGACTCCCAGGAGCCAGGGGCTGTGAATGAGACCTAGTGGTGACCTTCTCTCTGCACATCTAGGCAAAATAGGGGTGCAACACCACCGGGGTTTTAGACACAAGAGACCCTCAGGCTCTGGGGCCAAAGGAAGCAGCAGTAGGGAAAGTATCTTTTGCACACTGCAAAACAGGTTTCCAGTGGACCACAGAACCTGACCCTAAGTGACATGGGGTTCCTTATCCCAGAGAGAAGAACAGGGGTTTCACTGGCAATGCAAGAAAGCCCAGGTAACTCTGTCTCCTCCACTGCTCTGAATTATGAAGGCTACTACTAGCTCCAGTTGATTATTCTGGCAGCTGAGGCTTGGGAAATCCCAGGAAAGCTTCGGTCCCACCTTTCAAGAGCAGCTGGGAGCAAGACACAGCATAGAAGTCACTACGCTGGCTCTGCGCCTCCTGGTGCAGAAACTGGCAGAATCTGCCCACAGTTGGCCACCCTAGCTTTAGGTAAATCTGTACTAGCAAAACATTAGTCTGAAACCTTTTTTCAATACCTAGAGGGCATATCTATGCTGCAAATGTATTGTGCCAGGCAGCAACCTTCCCAGAGACCTGCTGCCCTCCATGCACTACTCCCTGTATCAGAAGCTGCACAGCAATGTTACAGGTCTTAAAATACAGCATTTCATTTGTACAATGCGAGACTGCAATGTTTTTGTGGCAATAATTTTGTAGCATTGCAGAAAGCTTAATTAGCCAGGTCCATGAAAAGGGGACTTCCTGCTTCCATTTCAGGAGTCCCATGCTCTGTGGTGGGTGCCTGGCCCCTCTGTTGCTGCTTAGATGTGCTTTAGATCTTAAATGTGAAGTGCCCAGAACAGTCTGAGGACACTGGGTGTCAGTTTACTGTACCTCTGTCCTCTCCTGGTCTCTCCAAGCATGTGCCCAGAGATATCGAGTCTTCAGCCACCATGAGACTCCTGGGTGGGGGAAGTCATATGATTCTCCCACTCTCTTGACCTGACCTGCAACCCCCTTGTATCATACGTGATCTACTTCAGCAGGTCTAACTTATGCCCTGAGTCTCCAATTCTATTCCCTCTGGAGTAACGATAGTGGTAATCAGCAAGCAAACTACCTCCTTTGAAAAAAATATGACTTCTCAAACATTACAGACAAAAAAATATTTTAAGAACAATAAAGGACATATGCGTGTCTAGTTTATCAGGTCTTTAATCACCTTCTACATGGAGACTGCAGCAGGATTAGCTTCCTTTAGATTCTCCAGCTGCACCTTTCCACGTCAGCTTCTCTCCATCAACAGCTCCCAGGAATGTCCTTGGTTACTCACCCACCTCGACAGGAATCAGGTCACTTTTTAACCGTTTATAGCCCATTGATCTGTTAACTCCCAGTTTTGGCTAAAAATACCTCAAGGTTTGAAACTGAATGAGGCCAGGATCCTTGAAGTTAACAGCTGGGATCATTTTCAATGTCTTTTAAGTGTGTGTGTCTTTGTTCATGCTGAGAAGCTTTGGTTTCTCCATCATGCCCAGACCCCATTGATTTTGAGCGTTACAGATACATCACAAACCTATTTCTTCCTTTGCAAGTTAGATTAATACAGTTAGAGGAAATTCCAATTGCCCAACATGCAACAACTTCTCATCAGTCACCTAGACTGTTCACAAACTTGTTACATTTCAGTACTCATAATATTAGCATTGATGATTAGCTGCATGTCTGTCATAGCAAGCTTGGCATGATGGCAGGAGCGGAGATCGGCTATAAACTGAAATGGGAGACTCCTGAAGGGCAGCTTGGCTGTGGAGACTGTTGACCAAGAAAAATACTCCATGCATAGCGGCCAATACGGGGATGAATGCATGAAGCTGGCAGGGGACTGAGAAGTCAGGAAACCCAATAAGTTGGCATGACTCATGACTGGAGGGGACTGTGTCTTAAGAGAGGTAGAAGGAACATACAATGTAGGACCTCAACATTTAGATGTACACGGTACCATTTCTTGTCTATTCTTCCCACACAGGATTTGCTACTATGTCCCTTCTAGGAGATACTACAAGTATTTCAGCCCAAAACTTTTCCCATAGACATGCTTGGGAAGATCAAGTGCCTGACTGACTGGAGCCAGTGTCCACTTTTGTACTTTCCAGACAGATTACTTTCACTATAAAAAAAGAGGTTGCTAGGCCCTGAAGGGCAGCAGACCTGTTGGGAAAACAGAGAAAAACAGTTCTCCTTGGCAGCTGGCCATAAGACGTGGCAGAAAAAATGAAAGCATGGAAGGCATGGCCTTAGATATACCCCCTTTAACTTCTGCAACTTGCCTTCCCTAAATTGCATTAGCTCAGCACTCTGCACGTCATTTCTAGCTAAGGGAAGTTTCACTGTTCACCTTTATTTTTACTTTCTCTCTGTCCCTCTCGCTCCCTCACATAAACACACTCATTCCTTCTTGAATGTGTGCTGCATAAGTGCACTTACAATTTCGATTCGGTTGTTGGTACTGAGGAGAGCAACAGCTCACTGACGTGCAAGATGAGAAAGATTCCACCCTTGTGGGAAGAAGAAACCAAGGGGTGGTTAAGTGACTCACGGATACCTACGATCGTCGAAACAACTGCAGGCTGCCATTCCAACCAAGAAAAGGAAAAGGGAGTTGGTGCTGGAGCAGAAGTCTCCTGATGTCAGGCACACTGAGGTTACTGCAGAAGAAATGAAGAGCTTAAAGCTTTTAAGATTGCACCTTTCTATGGGCTTTTGGAACAATAAATAAAGGGTGAAGAGCAAGAGCAGGCACTTCTTAGGAAGAACAAATTTGAGCTGAGGCTGGCGTAGCCCAGTTCCTACGGGACCGTGTAAATCCTGCACTGCCGATCAGTTACCTTTTTCCAGGGACGGAGTAGCAGCAGACCAGCCTGTTTCAAGAGCTGAAAACTCCCATTGATAAAAACTACCCAAACACTGGCTAATGGGATCATTTAGATGTTAGTTATGCTAAAAGAAGGGAGGGGCCATTCTTGCCACCTCTTGTCCTGCACCAGTCTTGTATGGGTTAGTTATACAGGTCTTAAAATACAACATTTCATTTGTACAATGTGAGACTGCTATTACCATTACAACTTGTTCAAATGTAATTACAGGTTTCACTCACCAACCGCAGTTTTAGGCATCCACGCTTAATATTCTATATACCATTTTGGCGACTACGGTATGCATTTTCGACTAACCACGGTTTTCCGTGGCTGCGCATCAGCCTGCCACCTACCGTTTTTCCCATAAGCTTTTTGTGTCTTGCCAGCCACGGTAACTTTCAGGAACCTAAACCCAGTGGTTGTCAAGGGAAACCTGTAGGTCTCACACATTTTCGAGTGATAGGCAGCACCATTCAGACTTTACTGGCATAGAAGAGAAGGTAGAGGGGCATTAAGGTCATGTCCACACCATGCTGTACCCACAGTCCTACTATGAAAAACGTCCTGCCCACAAATGAAGCACCACGGCCACCTGAGGGCAGCCCTATGCGCACCCCAATACCACTCCTGGGTTCTGGTCCCAGCAGTGTTTGCTGGCACAACAGCAGGGCCACTCTCCAGCAATTATATTGCCTCACGTCTGGAATCTGGCACGTGCAGAACTGGAGCAATTGAATGGTGAGTGCTTCAGGGTGGCATTTCTGGGCATAAATTGGAGGGTACTGAGATGCTCTATGTCCCTTGACCATAGATGCAAAGCAAATCAGTAGCAGAGCTTAGGCTAACAGTCATGAAATCCTGGCTCCCAGTCCTGTGCTCACATCACTATATCATACTGTTTCGCCTGTTAGTGTTGCTAACAGCATAGCTGAAATACTTCTTTAAAATGATTTGGCCTTTCATTTCTAAAGTGACAGCAGCTGTTGATAACATACATGCATGGAAACACATTTACAAAACACAAATGGCTCAGAAGAATAAACATAACCGCTGAAAGTGCTGAAGTATGTTATTTATACAAGCACTGTAGAAATATAAGTCCAAAAGATAACACTGGAACATACAAAAACATCATTTATTTGTTAAACTTCATGAACATTATTTAGATTTATTAAACTCTTAAGTGAGGAAATTAGCCATAAAATACTTTAAATCAAAGAGTGCTGTAAAATAGCATTAAAAATGCATATACATGTAGCAGGTTATTTACTAAACAGATATCACCCACCTAAAGAAGCTGTAACTGTACTCGGTTACATTGGACTATGCCTTCATTCCAGTACTAACCTTTCTGAAAACTGCTCCTAAAAGTATTTACTGAAGTTATGGTTCTCACATTCACGGATCAATGTTTTACTTTCTGATGAATCACCGATGTAAAAATAAATCTAACGATGATGGTTTTGATAACAGCCTTGCTGATTCCCTTCAAAGCATCTTTGTGTTTAAAAACAGTCAACAGAAATGAGAAAGGAAAAACATCAGCCCCTTGTACCACACATTAGCTGAAAGAGCATCTCATTATAGCACTGAGTTGAGTATCATCCAAAGGGTCAAGATTTATTTAGTCTTTATCTTCATTTGTGCAGTCTAGAAAAAGAAGTGGGTTTCTACATGAAGAGACATCCAATGTATTTACCTTCCCAGCAGGATCTTGTGATAGTATCTTGGGTTCAGCTGCACAATTTTCTCCTTTCTCCTGCAAAGCGGTGTAGCTGGTAGCAGCCAATCCTTCAGGCTGTTCTGAAAGCTTAATTGCAGTCTGCATTTGCTTTCCTAATTCCTCTATCAGTTTTCCAGGAACAGATGTAGATGGTAAAGGAGCCTTTGATTTTTCATTACTAAGATCTAGCGTCAAAGTGTTTGTCTCTCGCCGTAATCCATTACAGTCAATAAGTGGGGCTGTCCTCTTCTCTTGGAGTGTGCCTTGTGAAGAATGTATTTTCCCATCTTCACTGGTTGAGGACTCTTGTTCATCTGAATCAGAGCCTTCTGTCTCAGATGATGAAGTGCTGCTTGATTCTTCAGAGTCACTTGTCTCTAACTCAGAGGAAGGCAGCTGTTGCTTGGAAACTGTACCGGCAGCTTTTAACACACTTTCTTCCTCCTGTACTAGAACTGCTGCTGTTTCCAGCTCTTCTAGCTCAAAGCCTAGGTGAGCTTTAGTAATTTTGGCTTGCTGCAAAGATTCACCAAGTGCTGCCAACTTTTTGGACCTTAAAGAAAGAACAAAATGTACTGTTAAAATATAGAAACAAAATATCTATTATTTGCTAACAACTGCCATGGAGTTAACCATGCGTACTATTTATTTGGTTTGTAAACAATTTTCTTTTTCAGGCTGCTATAGAAAAAGCACATTCCTTGTATTTTAGGCTGCTTCACTGCCACAAAGGTTTATACAAGCAGCTAATTATATCAGTTTACCTCAGCAAACTTAGTGGCTTTGTTCCAGAAGAAGGTACTTCATTCTCTAAAAGTTTTAGCAAGGCACTGAAATGGGAATCAACTGTACTTAAAATGATGAAACCACCTAGTTCCTCTGAGAGATCTCTCTTCAGTGTTGAATTACAGCAGCAACACCTGAACCAAAGGGCAGCTTGGTTAGGCATGAGTCCAGGAGGAGCAAAGGCACACTGGTTTACCATGCCCCAACGTAGTTCCTTAGACACAGAAAATCTTTTCAAGGTGTTCTCTAAATTCAATACATTTGCAATATAGTTGATCAGCTTCTTTGACTGGGGTACTTTTTACTATTCTAAGCTTTTATTTCCCTCCCTCCAATTAATTCTCCTTTGTTACCAGAGGCTTTCTAAATTATCTTAACAATTTTTATTAGTTACGTTTTGAGCCCCCCCATCTCCTCCTACATTCTTATTTTAATAGACGGAAATGATGGTACATCAACATACCTCCTAAGTAAGCGAGCACCTCTGTGGTACAAACATTACCAAACTTAGGAAACCTGGTCCTGAGTTTGTTTTTATTCAACTACATGAGATACGTTATGCAGACAATACATGTATTACATTGACAACAAGGGAAAGATGCTTAGAGAACCGGAAATTTGCAAAATGAACACAACAGACCAAAATCAAAATGAATTCAGGAAACAATTTTCATGCTTATCAGAAAGCTACAAGATTTCTACAATGAGTAACTCTTCCATGATCTCCCCCAGTGGGCCCATCTACACAAGACGCTTAAGGAGCAGAAGACAAATTCTACTGCGCATTAGCTCAGCTAGCAAAAACCACGCGCAGTCCAATGTGCATTAACATCATGTAAAAAGTGTTTATCTGAGCTAACGTGCAGTAGCAACGATTACAGCACGTTAAAATGAGTACCTGTTATTACAGGTCCTAATCTTAATGCATCATAATTATGGCACATTAATGTATGTGCAGATGCACTCATTCCAAATCCACTTCCCTCATCTCTTTCCAACCTCTATGCCCCTAAATGACCACTGTCATCTACAACCATCCTCCAAACCACTCTGCTCTTCCCCTGATTTTAAATGCTTCTCTAAAGCCTACTTCTTTAAACTGGATACACCTTTTTTCCCCATCCTTAATGATCCTAATACTCTTTTTTTGCTGAAATTCTGATTCATGCCAAGAATTTAAAAAATCCTGCTGCAATAATAAAGTTAATTCATATTTTTATTACTATACGTTAAAAATGTATTCTTCAGGGAAAAAAATACTCGTCTCTTCAAGTCTTGTTCTGAATGACACATTTAAATTAAATAATTCTTTTAGATACAAAATAGTTCATTAGACTTGTTAAAAAGACAGCACTGCAAAAGGGGCAGATTTAAAAGGCAATTGACTGACTCACACCAATGAGTCTCCAAAGCTGATCTCTCCCGAAACACAAAGTTCAAAGAAGATAAGCTGAAACCAGGCAACTTATTACGGCTCTGTTTCATAGGCACACTCCTTCCCCGCTCATAACAGGACTGCTGCACCTGCTGTACAATGAGCTGCACAATAAATCAGCAGTGGATTTTGTATGCAAGTATTTAGTACTGTAGCTAAGAAACAAATGTCTGGACCCTTTAGGTGAGGGCAACTATGGGAGACAACAGATACAGGATGTCAACTTCTAAGCTTACCAACCTCCTTGAGTGCAGCCACAGCCATAAAAATTTGTTCTTTCCCAGACAATTGTGCCACACTTATAAAGGCAGAGAACAAAAAAGCAAAAGTGCCTTGAAAATGTGGGGAAAAAAAGAAAAACAGGTATAAATAGCAAACATACATCCTGTTTCTTGCTGTAGAGTTTTGCCTCAGACTATCAATCAACTTTTCACCACTTCCTGCAACAGCAGGTCTACTATAAATCCTGCAGTAACTGACTGGGTTTCATTTCCTCTGCCAAAACCTGCTAACCTGCAAGGCATGACACACTGACACTGGAGCAAGCAGCTGATAATGTAATACATGACTCCTGCGAGGCAAAAGTTAAAGTGCTTGTTCTCTCAGCTGAATGATTTTAAAGATCTTTATATTCTACTTCCCAGGGGGGATAATTACTCAGTATAACACAGACTGTGCAATTTTTTTCTTCTCCTAAAGGAATTGTATTTAAAAAGGTGGGGGAAGGGGAACTTAATGCAGTTTCTTACACATTTTTACAGAGAAAGTGCAGCATTTAAACGCAAAGCTTGAACCGAACAGGGCTTGCTGGTTAACTTCCTCAGTTCAACTGAAAGACAAGAAAACGCTGAAATAACAGTGTTTATAAACAATAGTGGAAGATTGATAAAAGTTTAAAAAAAAACCCAAAAACCTGAGCATACATATTAAACCAGACTTATTTGTGAGCCCCTGATGCAAATACATGATGCCACTCTATTTAAATTATTCAGTAAGCTAACTTTACTTCGCTAAGTAATCCCAGAGCGGTTTATTCATAACTTCCCACCCAATCATCTTCATCTGGATTTTCCTCAAAAACAAGAAGTTGCAGGGGAACATAGGAATTGCCAGCCAGGATCAGCTTTGGGGGTCGCCTGCCCGGTCTCTGCCAGCGATAACGGCTAATTGCTTCAAAAGAAAGTGGTAGGTTGGAGTAGAGGTACGTGCCCTAAAGGAAAATGTTTCCTAACTCCACTAATGAGCATTTGGCTTATGCCTCAGGCCACATGGGTTTATATAATTTCCGCTGTTCATTTTTTAATCTTTACTTTTTAACCCCACTGCTTTTGTTAACAGTGCAGACCTTTTTAAAAATCCTGAGCTCAGTCATAGTTTGTGGCAATGAGCTCCCCTGGCAAAACGCATGCTGTGTAGAGCGTTCCTTTATCATTTAAATTGCCATCTTTTGGTTTTTACTGAAAACTGTGACTGCCCATAGGAGGAGAAGTGTTTTCCTCTCACCTTCAGCTCCAGCCAGAAGCCGCTCCCTTCCTCTTTCACTCCAGGCCCTTTTCTTCTCAGCTAAAAGGCTCTATTATTAAACCTCCCCCTACACAGATTTGCCCCCTTCTCAATCATGTTTGTATTTTCTCCCTTTCTTCTTCTCTCTTTTTTCATTCGTAACCCTTTGCCGGAAAGTGCTCCCCTCCACCACACCCCCCCAACATAGCCCCTTTAAAAAAAAAAAAAAAAAAAATTATTCCAAAAAATTCTCCTTCTCTCTCAAGGCACATATACCAGTAGCACTTACGAGACAGAAATATGTCTGTAAAGTGCCAGGCAAATTTACAGAATTAAATCATTTTTGACTAATAATATACAATTATACGTGCCCTTGAGTATTGATAGTCCAGACTTCAAGAAGAAAATATGCAGCAATACACTCTTTTGGCTCCTCCACGTCTATATTCTGCTACTTAACAAAAATGTAGTACGTATGGCTATATTACTAATTAGTAATATAAAGAAAGGGGTGCAATCTCTGAAGAAGCAACTTCTTGTCCTTTCAGTATTGACACAACTTATTAAACAGGGAATCCAGAGGAAATGGCTGAATGAGTAGATGTCTGAGAGAAGCAGGTCATAAGGGAGCTAACAAATGCTCGTACTACTGGAAGGGTATGAGCGAGCACTAGACAGCAGTCTCAGTCTCGAAAAGCCTTGGTTTAAATCTTATGCACTGATCTAATTAGACTGGAACATAACGGTCTTCATTGATCTCATAATAAAACCGCGCCAAAAGATCTGTATCTCTCTCTTTATGCTGGAAGAGTCACCACAGTTGCTGAGAAAGGACAGATTCTTCACCTTAAACAAGGAAAGGAGATAGAAAAAAAAGTCACAAACAAAATTAGCTACTTCCTAGCAAGATGCATAAAGCAATTGTGAGCACTCTAAGTGGATTAGCAAAGGCTCTTAGAGCCAACTGTTCCATCTGTCCTCCTAAACTCTGCAGTTGCTGGACTCGTTCATGTTCAAGGAACCTGGGGAGTTGCGTGACTGCCTACAGTACCAATAGATGCCTAGCTCCTGAGCTGTCGTACAAGTTCTTGGCAAGCTCAGAAGAAGCTGGGGGGGGTTGGGGTGCATGTTTTAGGCCAGGGGAGTTCTGTTGGTTCCACTGATACTGAGGAGCATGGAAGACTGCTCTAAGTCGCCTTAGATCAGGGGTGGGCAAAATGCAGCCCGCAGGCTGGATGTGGCCCGCCAGGCCCTTCTATCCAGCCTGAGGGGCCCCTAAAAAATTTAGAAAATTAATATGCACCTGCTCCTGGCTGCCTGCCACGCAGCCCTTGATGGCTTGCCAAAACTCAGTAAGCAGCCCCTGGCCCAAAATAATTGCCTGTCCCTGCCTTAGATGCTGACAACCCGGGAAGGCTCTTTTGGCCAAGCGGAGATTAAAAAAAGGTACAGGGCACTGTAGCCACATCTTCTGCCTAGCTAGATGAGGGGACAGTGCAGCATTACTATGATGAGACCAATACACAGGGGATCTTGCATTCACCTATAATGCTGGCTTGTGAGCAGCTTTGCAGGCTTGGCTTAACAAATTTGAGGAACGGCTCCAAATCAGTCTTTCACTCCTGGATTGTATTCATTTCAGAACTGCATGGTCATTACATTGCAGCTTCTGTTGCTACTCAAAACCAAGGAGATCCAAAGCTAAGCGTGGCACCCTTGTCCTTTTCTGCAGTGCAAGCACAGCAGCTAACTAATTAGATGACAAGTGCAGGGTGGCAGCTTTACTGTAGGGAGGCCTGGAAAGGGAAGAAAATAGATTTGGGCCCCTT